TTCTTGACAAAATCTGCTGATATTGGCGACTGGTGATTTACCACGAATGGCAACAGCTATAGCTATGTTCTGTTACATTCCCAGGCGGTAATCCCAAAAGAAATCTCGCAATACCGAGCTTTACGGCAATGGTAATCCCCTACAATTTAATTCAACATCACACGATTCCGTCAGAATTCAATATATACTTAGAATTCAATAATGAGAATCTATTGAGACTGATGGACAATGCATTGGCACATGGTGGCGCATCAAATAAAGGAACCTATCAATGCTGTACACTTTAGTGGACTTCAACAAATGATAGGTTCGAGGAGGTTTAAGGACCTAAACCATCCAAAATAAGGATGCTTTTACAGATTCTCGCGATCAACAAACATCAACAAACCTGAAAAAAAATGCAGTAATCCAGGTCTCAGAGACCAAGCTTTTACAGGCACAACCAGCAACAGCAGCGCTCCTGGTGAGAGGTCCCAGAATCCTTATCCCGTTTTCGTTCCCTATCTGATACCCCATCTTTCTAGCTACTCTCATGAAACGAATGGGAGAATGTCTACGATTCTCATTGATTCTCATTGATTCCTCCTACAAAATCCTTTCATGTCCCTTTTCTAAAGGACATTCACTTGCATGTGGGACAATCACTTGCATGTGGGGTTCATGACACTGATAGGCACCCATCATCACCCATCTCAATCAGATTCAGATGCAGCTACAATTTAATTCAACATCACACCATTCCGTCAGAATTCAATATATACTTAGAATTCAATAATGAGAATCTATTCAGAACGATGGACAATGCATTGGCACATGGTGGCACATCAAATAAAAGGAACCTATCAATGCTGTACATTTTAGTGGACTTCAACCACTGATAGGTTCGACTGCCCAAGCGCGCCTCGGGCAAAGCGTCTGAGCCGTGGCAAGATACCGTTGATCCAAGTGCTGGATCTGGAAGGCAATCTGCTGTGACCTGAAAATGCATTTACAATCTGATCATCCGGGTCGTGACCATGGAGCTATACCAGGTTGCTTTTGCATCAAGAACAGTTCATGTTGTGAGCTTTATGTTTGTGTTGCGCCTGCTTCACATGAGTACGACTCTGTTTGTCGTTTCATCTAAGTGATTGTACATGTATATATCTGTACGCTTGGAGGTCGAAATAGAGTAATATACTGTTCAAGCATCTTCTTACAGTGCCAAATCCACGTGTTCCTCTTTTTTAGGGTTACTAGATATCCACCTCGGTTTCCTCTCACAACCCGAACCTTTCTCCATGAACAATCGCTGTGTCGGTTTCGAAAGCATCCGAGAGCAAAAAGGTCCTGGGGGCATCATCAGGCAAATGATGGGTGCAGTATTACCTTTCAGGAATAAAACTGTCTACCTAGACAATCCGCTCAGCTATCCAATGAAAAAAACAGTAGGGAACCATCAATAAATCCAAATGTTAGTCGATAAGCCCAAAACCCATTAGCCAAATCATTGTGTTCTCTAGGAGAAAAGTACCATGCTCGGGGGATATCCCGTATATCCTCATTTTCCTGCCAAACCATGGTTTTCCCCCAAAACATCTCGCGGTCCCTTCGTCGTTTGTTCAGCTTGGGAGCCTAGTTAGACCGAGGCAGACCCCTACAGCATGCTACATAAACTATGATATATCTATGATATAGTGACACAATGTGCCCTACATTACATCAAATGAACCTTACTTATCTCATTTGATCTCATAGATGATCATATCAATGATATTTCTTCCCATACACCATGCATATCTCTGGTTTCGCCAAGTCGAAGAAAGGAATTCCCTTGAAGGGATCCCCCCAGGGGATCCTGGCCAGGTGCACTTGGACGGTTTGTTCTGTACAGGTCATGCGCAATCGGTTCTTCTCTTGACCTTGGCCCGTGGACTTGGCAAGAAACAGTCGCCCCAAGGCAGGCCAAGTCTACAGAAATTCGATGCTTCAAACTAGTGAATTTCGCATAAAATGGTGGCTGAGCCTTCTGAAAAATGATGCAGTGAAAGTGAGTTGGAATAATGACATTCCCAGGAGATGGAAAAACAAAAATGTTCCAAACCAACCAGCTCATGTGAATCGTCCACTTCGACTAAGCCTTAACACTATCCGATGTTGCATAGTTGTCTCGCTCAAACTTAATTTCTAGTGGGAGATGCTTCTCCATCAGATTTCCCCACAGACTTGCCATCACGATTGGGTTCACCAAATATATCATACTCATCAATGAACCATCGACACCCCTTGATTGTTTCGGAACATTCCCCAATGGTTCGGCAAAGGCTCCTCATCTCCCCGAGACTCTCCGGAGCGCACCGGGACCCCGTACCATTTGCCGGCCAGCTTATCATCCAGCTGCCCCAACACAGCTGCGCCGAAGTCCAACCCAACCCAAGATTTCAACGGTTCCTGGCTGGAAACGTTGGAGGTCCATGGCTACTAACAGTGCTTAATAAATTTTAGCAATGCTAAGGGTGATAGGCTATGTATATTTTACACCCAATATTACCAAGTCATCCTTTTCTTGACGGCAAAAACCATTCCTCATGTCACTTGTTAAAATTGGGTTTTAAAGCATCACAACCTATATATGCAGGTCCAATGTTGGCCAACTTGGGATCCAACTTGGGCCCATGCTGGGTGATTTTGTGATTTATGTGGAGCTCCCTGGAACGCCAGGGGTCGCAAAAAAAAAACAACACAAAACTTTTCCGTTGGGGGGTTTTTGTCAGACTGTTTTGTCGCTATCTAAGTCCCATGTTGGGCAACTTAGGGTCTCACATGGGCTGATGTCAGGCAACTTTGGGTCTAACTTGGGCCCACATTTAGCGACTTGGGCTCCAGCTTGGGCCCATGTTGAGCGATTTGGTGGTTTATGTGGGGCTCCCTGGAACTCCAGGGGTCGCAAAAAAAAACAACACACAACTTTTCCGTTGGGGGTTTTTCTCAGCCTGTTTTGTGGCTATGTAAGTCCAATGTTGCGCAACTTAGGGTCTCACATGGGCTGATGTCAGGGAACTTTGGGTCCAACTTAGGCCCATATTAGGGGACCTGGGGTCCAACTTGGGCCCATGTTGGGCGATTGGGTGGTTTATGTCGGCCTCCATAAAGGTCTCAGCAAGAAAAAAATACCCCCCAACACAAAACTGTATTTTCTAAGCCTGTTTTGTGGCTATGTGGGTCCAATGCTGGGCAACTCGCGGTCGCACTTGGGGTGATGTCAGGCAACTTTCGGTATCACTTGGGCCCATATTGCGCAACTTGAAGTCCAACTTCGGCCCATCTTTTGCTGGCAAAGTGACGGACGTTGTCTTGCGGACTTTTGCATGAGTACTGCCTTGAAATGCATTCATCACCAGCCCTCTTCCCCCAAAATTCCAAAAATTTGAACCATTTGATGATATGTTAAAACAAATAAGTTCACGCATTGGATAGGCTATATATCAAAATTATTCTACTGTCTGTTCATCTCTCGTTGTTTCTTTTAACCAAACTTATTCCAACGTCTATCCACACTGTGCTGTTTCTGTTAACCAAACTTAGTCCAATGTCTTGCCACCTACACTTTGCCCATAGTGCCTGAAAATGATGCCCAAATAAATTATTCTAGAACATTATCCCTAGACCTAACCTCCACATCGGAATAATTTCGGATGGCAGGGGTCCTATATGCAAAAGATGCCATGTAGCAATCCCAGACCATCTGGCATATGGCGTATGAAACAGTCCAAGGATCATCGGTCTGCAAGGTACTGGATGAACCGCAAGGTGAACACCTGCAGAGGCACACGGTTTTGCGCCGTCGGCGCGCTTGGGGAGGGGTCCTTGCTTCCAACTGCACCCAGTCCTTATGTAAAACACAACATACCAACAGTACAATCCCATCAATGCATATATGGCTTTCAATGGTCAGCCCCGGACATCAGCTCAACCAATGGTACATGACAGGAATGAACTGCTTTGCGTCATTTCACCGCACAGGAAAAAACCTTTGACAGGTCAGGCCGGCAGAACCCATCTGTACAAAGAAATCTGCTTGCTGCCACAAATGGAGCCATGCAAAGCATCGCGTAGCTTCCGGCCCTGTCTCCGACCATCATGCTGTCGCTTCTTCCTGGTCACGGCCCAGTAAGCAAGCAACACCATGCTGAAACATGCACCATTCACCTACAGCTCCTTCACTCTGCCCTGAATGGTGTGTTCTCAGTACATGCCCCAACATTCATGAGCCACCAGTGATTTCATGCATGTCTATCCCCTGCTTCAGAGTTCAATCATTCCAATTGCCGTTGCCAATCACTGAATCTACAACACCCCCTGGCCTGCGAAGACCAGCTATGCGCACTCATGGCGCATCCCCGATCCACAGGACAAGATGCCTCTGGCAACTTTCGCAATCAACCAAAGTTTGCCTGCAAAAAAAGGGGGAAGCCATGCATCGGCTTCACATCAAAGCCAACTGCCCACCAGCGCCACTCATTCCATACCAATGCCCTCCACCTCATCATCGGCTGGTACTTCTTGGGCACTGCTCACACGACTTGCTGTCACTCGAGATCCTGGTGACACTGATCACACCACAAGGAACATTTATGTCATCATGAAATAAACCACAAAACTGCCTTCTCGCCGACAGTCCCCTCATTTTGGCCCCGCCTATGCCAATGACTTCCACAGCTCTATCAATCGCCCGTCTCTTTCGACCCGGGCAACCTCCAGATGGCCGCTGGCGCAGAAGCCAAGAGACCGTAGATGCATTCTCCTGGAGTGACATGACCTTCTTCTTCAACTCGGAGCCGACCTGCTTGCAGGCATCGCAAATGTTCCAAACTCCCAAGTTACAACTCCAATCATAATCCAGGGTTAGTTCTCAATACATACCCTTAAAAACAATGTTGCTCACTTCCCATCTTTCCAACACTACAACCCTGATTAGGAGGCCATCCATTTCCCGCACTCCCACATGAAGACATGTAGGCCTCGGCAGATTTCTTAGCTTCTTCATGGTCAACTAGGCGAACGACCCCAAGCACGGCCAGCTTCTTCTCGCTCGCCAGCCACACAGATTTGGTAGCAGCAGCCCAGCAGCGAAGCTGACTTCCTTGCTTCATGGGAATCACACGCGACCAGCGAAGCTCAGGCCTCAGGTTGTGTCACCAACTCCCCATTGTCACACTTGCACTACAACTTCCACGATCCAATGTCCCACTCAAAGGAGCAACCCATCGCTGTGAGTGCCAGCCCCTTTATCTCTAATCACCCTTGCAAGATTTGGACCGCCATTGCCTAACACCTCTCTCATACATCCAAGGGACGCAACGTCACGAACCAAGCGCAATGCTTCACTGCGACTTCCAAAATATTGCGGCTGCTTCAACTCCACCACAAATCCCTTCTCCAGCACCACCTCTGGCTCACTTCCTTGCTGGGTCGCTTCAACCGCCTCCAAATCGAACACCTTCTGCAAAAAGGTGAGAACTTTCTCTCCGGCCAGTTTCACCATAACCTGCCTTCCATTGTTGTTCACCTCAAACGGCTCCATGTCATTGCCAGCTTCCTGCATGGACGCAAACATGCTCCGCTTGGTTCAACCAAACATTGCCTCAAACAATCCATGACCCTACAAATCACTGCCATCAATGCTGCCCCTCCGTCCTACCACACCCAGCCCAAATGCCTTCGTCAACAGGTCATTCAACACCTTCAGGTCCATCTTTTCCCAAGCCGCTCTGACTGGCTCCGATACGGCAGGCTTAACGCCAACAACACGGAGAAAAACAACCATGGCAACAGAGATCAGCCCCTCGCTAACGCCCGCTGCTGGTCCAAACACTGCCCCGTGCAAGTGCATCCATCATGCAATGAACCTGACATGTTTCATCAGGACTGTGTCACCTCAACACCTAAGCATGTCATTGCACCATGCAAGCCATGATCATCCAGTGCCTACCGCCAACTCCAAACATTGTCAAGCTCTTGATGACAACCATGCTCATTGATTCTCATTGATTCCTCCTACAAAATCCTCTCATGTCCCTTTTCTGAAGGGACAATCACTTGCATGTGGGGTTCATGACACTGATAGGCACCCCTCATCACCCATCTCAATCAGATTCAGATGCAGCCAATTTAATTCAACATCACACGATTCCGTCAGCAATATATACTTAGTATTCAATAATGAGAATCTATTGAGAATGATGGACAAATTGGCACCTGGAGGCGCATCTAAAAGAGCTGTACACAGTGGACTTCAACAAGTGATAGGTTCGACTGTCCGGCAAAGCGTCTGAGCCACAGAAGATACCAAGTGCTGGATCCGGAAGGCAATCTGCTCTGACCTGAAAATCCATTTAAAATCTGGCACAGTAGACGATCATCCAGGTCGTGACCATGGAGATATACCAGGTTGCTTTTGCATCAAGAACAGTTCATGTTGTGAGCTTTATGTTTGTGTTGCGCCTGCTTCACATGAGTACCACTCTTTTTGTGGTTTCATCTGACTCATTGCACATGTATATATCTGTACGCTTGGAAGTCGTAATAAAGAATATACTGTTCAAGCATTTTCTTACAGTATTGGGGTTTGTAACCACGTATACAATGTATGTATGTCTTTACATGTGTATATATATATATATCTTATGTATTTATGCATCACAATATATATATAATATGTGTCTATACATATATATACATATATATATATATACTTTATCGATGCTAGTTACCTACCTCATGGGATTTAGTCCCCTAGCCCTTTGTACTCCATGTTCCCTATTATTTGATAGGGGGTATACACCATTTTCAAACCAGAAATGCTACAAGTCAGGTCAGTGCAAATACCATCAGGAAAAAAGGAAAAAAATTGGCTCTGATTTGGATTGGACAAGGGCTAGGTAAAATTAGGTCAGTGGAATATGGTCCGTATGGTGCAACCGACGAACCGCTCACAGATTTGTGTCTTCTGTCAATGTATTGCTTTCAAATGTCAACCAGGACGCAACTCAAGTAAACGTTGTGGATGTAGAAGGGCACAGCATACAACCAGAAGTACTGCAAAGCCAAGCTCCTTGGCTTCACCCGGAAAAATATTTGTAAGGTTTCGAATAAATATCCAACCGTTATAGTCCAATATCGTCCAATAATATCATCCAATATCATCGTGAATCATCATCAATCATCATCCATCATCATCAACCATCATCAACCATCGTCACTGCCATTAATCATCATCAATCATCATCAATATCTGGAGGTTTAAGGACCTAAACCATCCAAAATAAGGATGCTTTTACAGATTCTCGCGATCAACAAACATCAACAAACCTGAAAAAAAATGCCACTTGAAACCAAGGCCACTTGAATGGACCAATCGCTCCTGGTGTCACTTATATACTATACTCATTAACCAATGAACATTAACCGCATGAACCAGTGAAACATGTCGAGCTCCCCCAAGTGCAGTGGCCTGGAAAATCTTGAATGGCTCCATTAGAAACTGACCCAAACACCGCCACTTACAGTTTTTTTCCCAGATGAGGTAAGTAAAAAAACAGTAGGGAACCATCAATAAATCCAAATGTTAGTCGATAAGCCCAAAACCCATTGGCCAAATCATTGCGTTCTCTAGGAGAAAAGTACCATGCTGGGCAACACAAAACATTTCCGTTGGGTTTTTTTTGTCAGCCTGTTTTGTCGCTATCTAAGTCCCATGTTGGGCAACTTAGGGTCTCACATGGGCTGATGTCAGGCAACTTTAGGTCTAACTTGGGCCCACAATTGGCGACTTGGGCTCCAACTTGGGCCCATGTTGAGCGATTTGGTAGTTTATGTGGGGCTCCCTGGAACTCCAGGGGTCGCAAAAAAAAAACCCAACACACAACTTTTCCGTTGGGGGTTTTTCTCAGCCTGTTTTGTGGCTATGTAAGTCCAATGTTGCGCAACTTAGGGTCTCACATGGGCTGATGTCAGGGAACTTTGGGTCCAACTTAGGCCCATATTAGGGGACCTGGGGTCCAACTTGGGCCCATGTTGGGCGATTGGGTGGTTTATGTCGGCCTCCATTAAGGTCTCAGGAAGAAAAAAATACCCCCAACACAAAACTGTATTTTCTAAGCCTGTTTTGTGGCTATGTGGGTCCAATGTTGGGCAACTCGCGGTCTCACTTGGGGTGATGTCAGGCAACTTTCGGTATCACTTGGGCCCATATTGGGCAACTTCAAGTCCAACTTGGGCCCATCTTTTGCTGGCAAAATGACGGACGTTGTCTTGCGGACTTTTGCATGAGTACTGCCTTGAACTGCATTCATCACCAGCCCTCTTCCCCCAAAATTCCAAAAATTTGAACCATTTGATGATATGTTAAAACAAATAAGTTCACGCATTGGATAGGCTATATATCAAAATTGTTCTACTGTCTGTTCATCTTTCGTTGTTTCTTTTAACCAAACTTATTCCAACGTCTATCCACACTGTGTTGTCTCTGTTAACCATCTTGATGCTACTCGCATCAGTTCCTGTTTCTGCAGGATCATGCCATTGCTGAACAATCCACGTTCACTCCCTATCATATGCCACCAAATCTCCAAAAGTCATATGACTTGGCTGAGGTCTTACTGCCCTGCCCATCTGGGCATCCAGACGCCATCACGAAGACTCTTGTCAGGCTCCAATACGGCAGGACCTGCACCCGCTCAACCCTCCATCGTTCCCTGCGGACACCAGGTGCTTCGATTCAAGCTACGGAAATCTATTTTAGGTTTCTATTCCATTCACTCTAACTACTGATCATTTGCTACGGACCTGTACTGACCTGGGACATATCGTATCACGCACGTCATGGCTAAGCTTCCATCACCTGAAAAGAAAAGGCCAATCTCAGCTCTTCTGGGAAAGATCATGGTCCTCAAAAAGTGAAACTCCAATTAACGTCAATTACAAGTAAGATCAAGTAACCTACGGTAAACCAAGTTATACCAGATCTCAAGATGCACTGCTCTCAGAGGTGTAGGAACCTCCTACATCTGATCCACAGCGTTCTGAAGGATCCGATCGCTTTCCACGTCGAAGGGCACCCACCTGAGAGACTTCAAAACGCCATCTGAGCACCTTCACCCGCCATATCTACGGAAATGGATGTAGTCTACACAATGTACCCTCTGGTAAACTAACATAGCTATGGAAACTCACCATCTTTAATAGGTAAATCAACTATAAATGGGCCATTTTCAATAGCTATGTTAAATTACCAGAGGGTATTTATGAGTATACATTTAGAGATTTAGCAACATGTGCGTTCGTCGAAAAAACAGGCTACTCCAAAAATCCATGGTTTCGAATTTCGTCCCTGTAGACCGTATAGATTTTATGAAGATAGCCTTATCAATTTTAGGCATATAAATTCTATACAGGTTCATCCTCATTTTCCCTATGGTCAGTTTGTCATATAGAGGCCCATCCGGTGCCCATCCGGTGCCCAACAGCCTAGCTCCATGGCTTTATTAAAGCAACGACAGTATTGGATGGTGAAGATTTTAGAATAGTAAGAATAAACACAACACATCATAATAAATACAATAACAATAATAGTAGATACTGATACAGTAGTCTTTAATAAGGATAAATAATAGCAGCAATTACAATTATATAGTGGAAATTATGATTCGAGTAGTTTCCCCATTCAAATGGACATTTCAAATCACCAGCTGATCCACTCAGCGCCGAACCCCTTGTCGCCTTCAAATTCCCATTCACAGGCCCCCAGGGGCAAATACATCGGCAAATTTCTGGAGTTGTTCTGCCACATTATAGTCCTGTATATCCCATGCCATTAGTTTGTGTATATATATATATACATACATATATTTATTCTTATATGTTATGTATTCCACAAATACATTTCATCAATATTCCATATAGTATATATGAGATATATAAGATATATCAGATATATAAGATATATAAGATATATAATGTATATAATGTATATAATGTATATAATGTATTATATATATAATTATATATATATATATATCCCATTAATGTCCCATTCATGGATACATCCGCCACAGATTCTACAGACCTCCACAAGCACAGCTGGCGACTCCGAAATCGCCAACGGCACCTCTCGGGAGACATGGGCCTTCGAATCCTCTCTGAACGCGGCTTGTCCCGAAAAAAGGAGGACCATGGGCCTTCAATTGATGGTAAAAATCCATATAAATATCTGGTAAATATATGTAAATATGAAAAAAACATCTGGTAAAATCTGGTAAATATGGTGGAGTTCAATTGATTGTCCCCTGGTAAATATGATAGGTAGCTTGGTGAAATATGAGTAAAAGTCATATAGATCTGATAAACATATGGCAAATCATCTGGTAAAACAGATAGGTCAATCATCATAAAGTCCCGATATATGCTAAAATAATGTAATATGTTTTTTATTGTTTTTTTAATCATATCAAATTGCGACACTTCGGGAGTGTACCCTACAGCAACCGCTCTCCTCCAAGACCAACCGCATGGCTTTCTCCACATCACACCCACTGCACAGAGCGCCACTCGGGCGGACTCCTCCTGCCGAAAAAAACATCAAGTTTGGGACTCCCCAAACAGTTACCAGTTGCATTTAATTAGGATCAATATGATGGATTATAATGGGATTTAATGAGATACAGTATATTCATCGGCAACCAAAGTGGCAGCATCCAATTTTTGGGCCACAGTCACACCTACACAGTCCACAGTATCCAATTTTTGGGCCACAGTCACACCTACACAGTCCACAGTATTAATGCGCTGACATGAAAATCCGATTGGAACAGCCATTCCTAATCTCATCAACCCATGCAACTTCCTCCTCCAGCCTCCTCCTCCTCCTCATCATCATCATCATCATATTATTATTAGCATCATAATCATCATCTTCGTCGTCATCGTCGTCGTCGTCATCGTCATCGTCATCATCAGTCGAATCATATCATCATGAACTCAAAAATACGTTGTATATTCAACCTCCCCATAAAAAATTGTCAATTTAAAATACAGTAATGAAAAGAAAAATCTAAACATATCCTTTATTTGTTTTTGGTGGCTTCCATGTAATACAAAATATATACTATATACAGTATCTACCAATTCCCACAAGTCAAACCGGACCGACGCCAAGCACCTTGTCCATTCCCATGCCCAACAGTTTCTCAATGGGATCGTATGAGCCTGGGTTCCCAAGAAGTTAAAATTCTCCCACAGCCAAATCGTTCACGCTTTAAACATGGTTCAATCATTGGCAAGTGAAGTTCATTGAAGTTCTATCTGCACCCCAAAAAATGGCGGAGTTGTGACCACTTCACATCTGGTCGATCTTTCACCTCAGGCTCAACGTTCCCGTGCTCGACTGCGCTAGAATGCAATATCAACAATTAAATTGCAGACATGGTTTTGTCCAAAAATTATCGGAAACAAGATTGTTAATCATAATTTTCCAATTGAAATATCTCAAAATAACAATTTTGCCTGATTCCCCATCTTCAAACAGACACCATATTCATCCATATTGGATAGATTGGCATAGTTGCAACCATCTGGATTTCAAAAGGGAAATTCTGTTCTGGTTTCTCACGGGAAAACTATGCCCCCTGTCTATGCTTTCCAAGACCAGGTTCACATCCGCAAAAATATGCAAAAATCATCCAACATCAGAATCTGAGCAAGGGGAACATCCCAGATCCACACGCTTCGCTTTCCCCGCTGATGTCCCGCACAGAGGCAATACTCCTTCCAAAGCTTTGATGGAGAAAATGCAGTCGGATGACCCAATCAGTAGTGGATAGGTGGGAGTGGTGTATACAAGCGTGTACCCACGGCCCTAACATCGCCATTCAAAGATCATCAAACATCAACTGGGATACCTCAACCATATCTCGACCTTCGCCGAGCAGCACAAAAGAATCAAACAGGTTCCTGGTTCGGAATGATGGCATCATCGTGATCTTAAATCCCATCCAACCCATGTTTTTCGTTGTTCATGGGAGGACCGGTCCGAAAATAAGGTCCTCAAAAATCCAGCGTTTTATCATCATTTTCCCCATTTCGATCGCAATTTTTCGGGGTGCACTTTGCCCTATTTTTCAAGTACCAAATTTGGCCGACCACCAGGTGCTCCAATCGCCTCCTGTTTGGAGCTGTCAGCGGCTCGAAACCTGAGGGCTGGGGAGTGTCCATTGCCAGTCCAGAATCATGGCATCATGGCATGGGTATGGGTGAAAACCCTGGCCCATCGAACTTGGACTTTAGTTATGAAATGACTTGAGTTTATGAATGTCCATCCACCCATTCAGATGGTTTATGGATGACCATCACCCTATCCCATCTACGTTGGTAAATGTCCATTGCCATGATGAAAATTAGTGCAAGTTAGCTGTCCCATTAGATGTTGCCCCATCCCCATATCTCATTTAGCAAGCGCTAGTAGTCAATGCACATTGTGTACCATACAAAGATATCGAATGAAATTACTTTGGGTGTTTCCAAGTAGATATCCCATCCCCTGTACCAGTACATTATCCATTCAAACATATTACATAAACCGCATAAACCCATCTAAAAACCTCCCGCTGGGCTCCCCATCTGCTCGAGCCGCCGTAGGACCTCCCGGAGGATTTGGAGCCTCCAAGAAGGCCAGTACAACGTGTCGAGAAATTCAGCAGGAAATGTGGCTTAAGCAACCAACTGTGTATATATATATATATATCGTGATTGAACTAACAAAAACCAATACAATCACCAATAATTCAAATACATATATCTATTTTAGGTTTCTATTCCATTCACTCTAACTCACTGATCATTTGCAGCAGAAAAGGCATCAGCCGTGGGGTCACCTGAACTGTTGGCATTGTGATACTTGCATCCTGTCACATCGACACTCCCGACATCGAGGGTGTGACCAGTGCCGTTTGCCGACAATACAAATGCGTCCAAATGTAGACAACTTATGACCGAATCTACGGCCACTGTCAACTACATTCGCCAAACATCCTACAAGTGATTTCACGCTACGAATCCTTTCCATAAGTCACAAAGCTCTCATAGCTGCAGTCACTGCGGCTACGCAATGGCCACATGCTGCCACGCCTCTGTTTTTGTTTCTTTGCCTGTCTCCTGCGGTCACTTTGTCAATGGCGCTGGAAAACTGTTCCAACATGGTGTGAACCCACAAGGACTGTGGCACCACATCTGGATGTCCAAGGTCAATGTCATGCCCCATCGGCATGCACGCGCTGCTGGCATGCAGGCCAACGAGCCCAAATGGAAAAAGCAAAAGTGCTGGACAAAAAACCAGCCGCTTGGCCAAAGACAAAGACATTCTTGACATTCTGTAGTGGCTGCATGGGACAACATGTCCATATAATTCCATATACATATCCAATGTTTGTAAGATGTGCTCTGTGGCTGCATGGGTCAAATGTGGGTGGTAGGAACCATGATGTACATATCTTCTGTCATCCTTGGCCAAGTTAGTCATCAGAGGCTTCAATAGGACAAAGACAGCACATGTTTCCATATGCGGAGTACCCTGCAGTACCCACATGCAATCCCATGAGTGCCACCACTGCGCCCTTCACCAAGATCTTCGAATTGCAATGGCCGTCATACAGCTGGATATTGTAGCCTCAGGCCCCAGCAACGGCACCACACAGAGTGCAAGCACAGCACATTTCGTTCCGACCCTACCACAACACCCCCAGATTCCACACCACCTAATAGGCCTAGGCACGCTGCGAGTCATAACCCTCCACTCCGACGTCCGTCACCTGCATGTAACGGCGAGGCCTTTGCGAATCTCCACCAATCTCGGACAGGTCCACAACCTTCACACGCACTGAGATGTAGCTCTCCCCTTCACCAGGCGATGGCAGCGCAATGCCAGCCAAGCCAGGCAGCAGCTCGAAATCAGCTGTAGGCATCGAGGCATCATCATCGAGGAAAACCAAAGATGACCTCAATCAGCCACGCAAACTCTGAAACTCTACGCACAGTTCAATTTTCATCTGATTCTCCATGTGAGTGCCCCCATACACGCTGCCTGCCCCTGCACAACCTTAGCCTGGACCCACCCTTTTGCCAGCACCCTACAATGGCTTTCCCAAGTACTTGACACCAGTCCAAAAACACAACTTTTCTCCTCGACAACTGCCACAAGCCCTGCCCAAGACTATATAAAACACGTCAAGGCACTCAGCTCCCTGCCGCTTCCGCTTCCCCGGCATTGGCAGGTTCACCGCAAGTTCATACTCCGCCAAATCCGGGCAGAGGGCAGCTTCCACGATCTCACCATTGCTTTTTTTCCAAGTCTGCCGCACTTCCACCGCCAGCAGCTTCACACACTGATCCACCTTCACCTCCCGGGCCGGGATCACGTTGAACTTCGCCAACATGAAGATCTTCTCCCCTGCATTGCTACCAGGAGCACAGAGAATGCATTTGAATTGCGGGTACTTGCTTTGACTCCCAAACACCCAGTGAACTCGTGCTCGTGTTGAGATAGGGTGGATTGGCACAGGATCCATCGCAGCCACCGCTGCCAAACTCATCTCTGTCGCCGTCGCCTGGGTGGCGGCAGCCGCGGTGGTCGCCGCTCCACCAGCGGAGAAATTGAACTTCACCATTGCGGTGGTTGCCGTGTGCGACGCTTGAACCTCAAAAGCCTATACCAAACGCTTGCATCTTCTGTCATCCAAACACTTGACTTTCATCCTTGTAAACCTGGGACAAAACATTGCAACGTCTCGTCGCCAAGGCGAACTCCATTTCACAACACTGTAAACATCCTACCGTCATCAGCCTCTGTGCCCCATTCAGAACCAAAGCCAAATGCAACTGCATGCAGTCTTTTGCCAACACACACCCTGTTTCTCCAAAACCCACCCCTTCTCACCGCCTGCTCGCCAGGTACTCCTCCTCTACTATCATCGTGGCACTCTCCTGCCACGGTGGCCACGGTTTTCCTCAATCCAGAGCCCAGGAGATGTCTTGCAAAGCCTATTGCCAAAGTTTCGGTCTTTGCAGCCAAATTGTCAATCATCAGTTCCTATACATAAGCTGCGTGTGAACTTATTTTCCAAAGAGGAAACATCTGCGAAATCAAACAAATTACCAACCATCATAGGACATTATGACGACTACATGGTTACTTGCAGGCTGAGAGCACACCGGCGCCTGCACTTGCAGGCTCATGGCTGAGTCCTGGCAGCATTTGCCCCAGCATTCATGCATCACATACATGACATGCTTATATACATAACATACATGACATACATGACATACAAACCTACATCACATAACATACATAACATGCATAGCATACACAACATACATCCATCCATCCATCTATTTACCTAGGCCTGTGGTAGATATCTTTTGGCTCCCCTTGGCGGACATTCCCAATTTCCCCCTTTGTCAATGCCCCTTCCAGGACCCAATGGAACTGGGTTCATATATCTTATTACATAGCATTGTACATACATAATATATCACACAAGTATCTGGTTCAGTTTGGTTACTAGCATTGGGTTGACCATGAGCATCCACGAAACGCCGTGACGCCGTGACGTGCCTGTGGCCTTGAGACCTCAGTGTACGGCGCTGTGCGCAGGAAGGGAGGTAACCGAGGAAGGCCCAATGATCAACAGCCGATGAGGTTTACGAATACGGGTTGGCATTACATGATTGATTCCGATTTTTTTTTCTGTTGGCTTCATGCTCCGATATTTCAACCAACATATCATTTCACCAATCCAAGGACATCTGGAGCTTCCGTGCTGCAAGTTGCCTAGCTAAGCATTACACTCCGAAAAAAAGTCACAATTTCATCCAAATTCTTCCTCCATGGTCACGCTTGGCAATCCTGGCTGCGAGAGAGGATCACTGTATATCACCAACCCAATCACCGTAGAAATGCTCAGGTTTCACCAACCCAATGACTGGAAGACTCCACAGGCGGCCGTTCTCTGACCAAGTGGCGAAAGCATTGGCAGTCGCTCCAACCGCTGCGACCACCCACAATGGTCAAATCAAAGGTGCTGCCAAACTTCCAGCGACACTGACGAGTGCATTGAAAGAACTCCTGGAGAAATGGGGTCAGAGTCAAAATCAAATACCCTCTGGTAAACTAACAAAACTATGGAAAAACACCATCTATGTATGGGTATAAATCGACTTAGTGAAAATAACTATGTCAGTTTCAGACCCTCGAATTCAATATGCATATATATATATACACATACAATATTATTATATATGTGTATAGTATATGTTTGACGGTTCCAACCCATCCAATTTTTGCTGTTTGGGCATATTCTTCTCCAAGCTCCAACCATCATCGGTGTTTTTGCTGGATCGTTAAGGGATCCGCAGATCCCCCACGGTGAGCCCCACGGTGGGCCATCTGCACCCAACTCCTTCTGTTGCTGGGCTTCAGTCGGAGGTTCCACGTCCTCCCTGCGAGTCGACTCCAAGTCCTGCGTGCTGGGCTTGCAGATGATGGAGATGTTCTTTAACAAACCTCCCAATGGATAGAATCATTGAGGGAACATCTTAATACAGGAAACCATGGTTTTCACCATTATGGGGGTTTCAGGAACATATTCCCGTTTTTGCCAATCCAATGGATAGAACATGACTGATATGGCTATTTTTGTGACTCATGATCTTCAATTACCATGAATGGTTGCCAAGTAATCATCCATCTGTAGCTGAGCTTTTTGTTTCGTGGTGGTTCAACCCAAGGAACCAATGAAGCAACGTTGCGCCTATCGGAAGCCCGAAGCGAACATCCCCAAAAGGATTGTACCCCAAGCCTAGAAGCACTTATACTTAAAGAGGGTCACAACATGTCAAAACCATTTGCCATCTAGAAGATACTACAACATGTACTTCAGATCTCAGGCTGCCTAAACCCTGAACCTGAATCATTGGATGATATTTTGTCCCACTGAAATGAAAACATGGATTGGTCGAGTCCTTGGCTTTACGAAATGCTTCGGATTTCATCAAAGAAACCATCGACAAAACCATCGTCAAGGGTGATTGGCCTCGCTGAGTATACGATATGCAAAGCTCACTGGAAGTCGCAAACCTCCAGAGGGGCTGTTTTAAGAGCACACAACTGGGACACACATAGTTAGACGTTCAAAAGAACAGCAACATCGTGATCTTGTTCTATGTGTTTTCTATCTATATAGTGAAGATTCACCTGTGAAAACCAACCAAACAAAAAGTTATCCCAGCACACAAACTGTGGACAATGGGTTCATCTATCTGATCAATGTAAAATTATGAAAATCTTGAGCTTCTAAGAAATTGTTGGTTTCACCACGCCTTCATCCTGTAAAAAATGGGGATGAACTGGCCAAGCCACTGAGAATCACAGCATTGATGCACGCACACCGAAACATCCCAGCCCAGTCGGGCGGCTGCCAGTCGGCTGCCGCGGCTGAGCCAAAAGGATGCATCGAATGCATCGAATCAGTCTCAACCATCGCGGTGCTTCAGCAATGCTTAGACCAACAGGTTGAAAAAAAGGTGATGACTTGAAACAAAATTCGGTGCCCTCAGCCAGTCTTTGATCCACCCGTGGCTTATTCTACCTAGAAACTCTTTCGGGATTTCTTTTCTGCCGGATGCCAAATTTTCTGCCAAATTTATGCCCGGAAATTTCAGGAATCCTGGAAACTACGCCGGAATCATGTGCAATGAAGCCGGCTGGAAAAAAACATGTATATGTATATCCGCCGACCCCGGTCGACCGCAAGGGGGAGCGCGTCAGGGAAGAGAGGTTGTGGACACCAAGAAATACAACAACGGGTCAGGGATCAGCAGCAGCAGCAAAAGCCTCTGCAGCAGCAGGAGGAAAAGGTAGCCAAAATTCATAGCAGCAGCAAGAGGAAAAAGTAACCAAAATCATCATTTTCTATGCGTTTTCGCTAGGCATTTACGGGGTGCAATTTTGGGGTTTCTCCGTCCTTCACTGCCATGGTGTTTTCCCATCCGGGGACCAGCAGCAGCAGCAGCAAAAGCTTCTGCAGCAGCAGGAGTAGGCAGCAGCAGGCAGCAGCCAGCACCAGCAGCAAAAGCCTCTGCAGCAGCAGGAGTAGGCAGCAGCAGGCAGCAGCCAGCAGCAGGCAGGAAAAAACATGAGGTTACAATGACAGTCCTAAAAACGGAGGGTCCTTGACACTCAAAGTATATATCAATCCATCCGTCTTTCTTCCTATGCCACTATCTATCTATCCAACAATCGATCTACCCATCTGTTTATCCAACTGTCTATCTACCTATCTGTCATCTATCTCTCTCTCTCTCTCTCTTTCTCTCTCTCTCCCTCTCTCTCTCTCTCTGTCCCTCTATCTATACATCTGTCCAACAATATCTATCCACCTGTTTATCAAGCTGTCTATCTACCTATCTATCAATCTATCTCTCTCTCTCTCTATCCCTCTATCTATCCATCAATCTATCATCTATTCACATGTCTACCTGTCTGTCTGTCTGTCTGTCTATCTATCCATCCATCCATCCATCCGTCCATCCGTCCATCCATCCATCCATCCATCCCCATCCATCTATCCATCCATCCATCTCTCCCTCTCCTCTCTCTCTCTCTCTCTCTCTCTCCCTCTCTCTCTCCCTCTCTCTCTCTCTCTCTCTCTCTCTCTCTCCACAGTCCCCCCCAAATAAAGGGGGGTCGGCGGCACCTGGGCGCTAGCCCATTCTATAATAAAAACTTTCCAAACCTGATGTTCGAATCGTATGTACATCGCTATATATATATATATACACAGAGGTTTTGGGGGTTCCTCCATGTTCTAAGTAAGAATCCCACCAGCTATCTACGTGCATTTTGGAAAATCCTGTGTATATATAATATATTTTGAATATTGTAGTTGTCCGGCACTATATATTCATATAATAAAAACTTTCCAAACCTGATGTTCGAATCGTATGTACATCGCTATATATATATATATACACAGAGGTTTTGGGGGTTCCTCCATGTTCTAAGTAAGAATCCCACCAGCTATCTACGTGCATTTTGGAAAATCCTGTGTATATATAATATATTTTGAATATTGTAGTTGTCCGGCACTATATATTCATATAATAAAAACTTTCCAAACCTGATGTTCGAATCGTATGTACATCGCTATATATATATATACACAGAGGTTTTGGGGGTTCCTCCATGTTCTAAGTAAGAATCCCACCAGCTATCTACGTGCATTTTGGAAAATCCTGTGTATATATAATATATTTTGAATATTGTAGTTGTCCGGCACTATATATTCATATAATAAAAACTTTCCAAACCTGATGTTCGAATCGTATGTACATCGCTATATATATATACACAGAGGTTTTGGGGGTTCCTCCATGTTCTAAGTAAGAATCCCACCAGCTATCTACGTGCATTTTGGAAAATCCTGTGTATATATAATATATTTTGAATATTGTAGTTGTCCGGCACTATATATTCATATAATAAAAACTTTCCAAACCTGATGTTCGAATCGTATGTACATCGCTATATATATATACACAGAGGTTTTGGGGGTTCCTCCATGTTCTAAGTAAGAATCCCACCAGCTATCTACGTGCATTTTGGAAAATC